ATATCCTCTTTGGTGAAATGTCTGTTCATAGTCTTCTGGCCATTTTTGAATTGGATTATTTGTCTTTTTGTTGTTGAGGTGTTGGAGTGTTCTATGAATTCTAGAGATAATTCCCTTGTCAGATATATCATTGCTGAATATTTTTTCCCAATCTCTAGGTTCTCTTTTAACTCTTTTGGAGAAGTCTTTTGAAGCACAGAAAAATGTAATTTTTAGAAGGTCCCATTCATCTAGTTGAGTTTCTGCTGTTTGTGCATTTTGGGTTATGCTTGACAGTCTATTTATGCTACACTTTCTGATTTCTTGATTCCTGCTTCCATTGGTGTTGATTGTGGATCCAAGTAATATGAAATCTTTGACAACTTCAGTCTTTTCTCTGTTTGCCGTGATATTGCTTATTGGTCCTGTTGTGAGGATTTACGCTTTCTTTATGTGAAGTGTAACCCATACTGCAGACTGTAGTCTTTAATCTTCATGAATAAGTGCTTCAAGTCATCTTCATTTTCAGCAAGCAAGGTTGTGTCATCTGCATATCACAGGTTGTTAATAAGTTCTCCTCCAATCTTGATGCCACATTCTTCTTTATATAGTCGAGCTTCTCGGATTATTTGCTCAGCATTTAGATTGAATAAATATGGTGACAGGATACAACCCTGATGAACACCCTTCCTGACTTTAAACCATGCACTACCATGTATAGTATCTGGAATATTTTTCATGATTTTATGTTCTATTTTGTCTAGGGTACTACAGAAGAGGAAAATAGCCATGGTCAAGCAAATGGTATGCTGAATGCACCAAGTCTTGGTTCACCCATTCGGGTCTGTTCAGAGATTACTCAGCCAGATAGAGATGTCCCATTGGTGCGAAAGTTACGTTCCATCCACAGCTTTGAGCTGGAAAAACGTCTGACACTGGAGCCAAAGCCAGACACTGACAAGTTTCTTGAAACCTGGTATAAAATAGTTTTTCTTTTCTTTCTTTTTAAAGTTACTAGCAAGTATAATACTCTTTTAACTTATTACTAGTACGGTAAAATCTTTTAAATAAGACATTTTTGCATTTTTGTAACACTGATTAGATTAAGTTCTAATCTTCATGCATGTTTTTAATTATCATAATCCTGATTCTTAATGTGAATTGTCTTCTGAATATTTTTGCAGCAACTTTATTTAGAAGGTGATCTCTTTTCATGGAATGAAGAAAATGCATTGTAGTGTTGGAGAGAGTATGATAAAGAAAACGTTTGGCAGGAAGGATAAGGGTACATGAAGGAGTGAAAAAATCATATATATGCAAGGGACAGGCAGTTCAATTCAGCTTATTGACAGTCTGCTATGAGCATGGTTTTGTAAGAAAAATAGGTATGAGTAAGTTTATCATTCTTCCCCTCCAGAGCTCACAGTCCACCTAGGGAGGAAGAAAAGGTGGAACTTAGGAAAGTTATACATAGGTAACCACAGTTTGTAGTTTATGGTTATGAGACCTCTTATTCCCACAAAAAATTTTGATAACAGAAGATAGAAATGAGTTTAAAAAAAAGTTTAGAATATATTTATGAATAATAGAAAGTTTCTGTAGCTCAGTTGTACCCTTCAATAGTACATCCCCAGTCAGTGGTTACTATTGGCAGTGAAATACTAGTTTAGAAGGACCATGGATTTGATTGACATGGTAGTTACTATGTCATAAGACATTTCAATCACTTCTAGCCTTGTCCATTCCAGCTCCCAATTTAAAGTTCTTCACATATATGTTCTTCCTCACACTGTAATTATTCAGTCTCACAGTTAGTGATATAAGCATGTATCTACATACTGATGAGATTAAAAAGACAAATTAGGATTGAGGTAGTGTTTTAAACATTATGAGCTGTGGTTAAGATTGGGAATAAATATAAGAGTACAATAGGGATGAAAATTCAGTTAGGTAAAGAATTAGATTATCAAAAGAATGGAACTTATAAAAAGAGTCTATGCCAAGGATAAAGGTAAGAGATAAATGAAAATTGAGAACAGAAGTAATCTTAAGAGAGAGAGAGAAAAAAAGAACTCAAGCCAGAACCTGGAATGAGTAGGGAACATTTGAAGAATTTTTGAGGCACCTATCACAAACTTGGAGCCCTTGTGGCACAATAGTTAAGCACTTGGCTGCTAACCAAAAGATCAGCAGTTCAAACCCACCAGTGGCTCTGTAGAAGAAAAGACCTTGCAATCTGCTCCTGTAAAGATTATAGCCTAGGGAACCCTTTGGAGCAGTTTGACTCTGTCCTACAGGGTCACTATGAGTCAAATCCACTTGATGGTACCCAACAGCAACAACAAATCACAAACTTAAGGAAAAAGTTATTCCTTAAGCTGTGTTTCCCTGAAGACGAGATTGGTTCTCAGAAGCCAGTATAGTCAAATTCTGCCAGTTACACTACTGCCCTTCAGCCAGCAGACAGATTTGTGTGCAATGTTAACTACCTTTTAATCCAACAAAATGGAAACTATTCTCTGAAGCTTCTCCCAAACCATCACTACCCCCACCACCATATGTGACACCGTATGTGTGCATAGTGGGTTAGTTGAACAGGTATTATGTGTGCATAGGGGGCTGGGGTTTGTTGAACAGGTACAATGCCTGCTCTTCTTAAAAGCCTTGTCATTAGAAATGTTTATTTGAATTAATATATACTCATGTACATCTCTGAAGACAGACAAATATAGAAAGTATTTGCTTATGTATACTAGCTTCTGGCTAGGCAGTGCCCCTTAGGTAGGTTGCTCCTCAGTCCCGCAGAGAGCAGAGGGAATTGTGATTGAATTTGCAAAGCAAATTGGTGAAGTGATCACGCAAGTCAATGCCAGTTAGGCTTTTCTCTTGCCCAGGAGCTGGAGAGACATCCTTCTCCCTTGGGCTGCATCTTCTAAAACAGTATTATGACAGGTGGGAAAGGGTATTATCAATCTGTGGAACTTTCCTTATACTTTATCCATGTTTTGTCCCTTTTCTCTATATGAATATTCTCTGTAGATTATTATATTATCTGTGTAGGTTATTATATTCTTTGTAGGTTATGCAATAGACATTTTCCTAGGACAATTGAATAACTTCTCTCTATTTCTTAAGCCTGGAGAAGATGCAGAAAGATTCCAGTGCAGGAAAGGAATCCACTGTCCCTGCTCTGCTGCATAAGCCTTGTGTTCCTGCTGTATCCCGTACTGACCACGTCTGGCACTATGATGAAGAATACCTTCCAGATGCTTCTAAGCCTGCCTCTGCCAACACCCCTGATCAGGCAGATGGTGGTGGCAGCAATGAATTTATAGCAGTCAACCTGAGCTCCTGCAAGCAGGAAGTTGATTCCAAAGAATGGGTGATTGTGGACAAGGAGCAGGACCTTCAGGATTTTAGGACAAATGAAGCTTTAGGGCATAAAACAACGGGAAGTCCTTCTGATGAGGAACCTGAAGTGCTTCAAGTTCTGGAAGAATCGCCTCATGATGAAAAGCTCAGATTAAGTCCTTGGGTAGAAAATGATCACTTAAAGAAGGAAACTTCAGGTGTGCTCTTAGCACTTTCTGGAGAGTGTCCTGCCACTGCTGCTTCAGAACAATATACAGATAGGCTGGAACTCCAGGCTGGAACTGCTGCTAGTCAATTTATTGCAGCAACACCCACAAGTCCAATGGAAGCGCAAGCTGAAGGACCCCTAACGGCGGTAAGAGATTTGTTTGTGCCGTTATTCTCTGTTATTCACTCACAGATGCTATTAAGAAAGTAATTGATCAGCTCTGATTCCTTTTTTTAGAAAAAATTTTTATTGCGATTTGGGTGCAAATTTACAAAGCAAATTTGCTTCACTCAACAGTTCATGCACATTTTGTTTCATAGCACCAGTTACATTCCCAACAATAAACAGCTCTCCTCCCATCTCTTTCTTGCAACTATCCCTTCCCTGTGTTCTTCTTACCTATGCATTCCCATTTGTCCAGCTTTCCCCTGTGTACATGCTGCCCTTCTGCTCTCTCGTGGTTGATGAATATAAGGGGTGCATCCCCCTGGGGTAGGTGGTACATCTTCCTGGGGTAGGTATTCTGCTCATAGGCCTTTCTACTGTTTGGCTCAGAACTCAGATGTCATTCTCCAATAGAAACCTAAGTTTGGTAGATGGGCACAGGGAATGATTTTTGAACTAAATTCTATAATCAGTCCCCCAATATGAAGTTTTTTTAAATGTGAGGTTTTCTTCCATTATAGCATCTCAATGCACAAAATATCATTTTAATCTAATTTCATAATAGTATTTGTAATTAGACCACAAGGACTTATTTCTTTGTGTGTGTGATTTTTATCCCCCTCCAATTTGTAACTATAGAATTGTTATATATATAAAATTGTTATATATAAAAAATATATATATATATATATATATTTAGGAGCTCTGGTAGCATAGTGGCTAAAGCACTTGACTGCTAACCAGAAGGCTGGCAGTTCAAACCCACCAGCCACTCCTCGGAAGGAAGGTTGGGCAATCCTACTTCTGTAGTGATACTGCCTCGGAAACCCAAGGAGGGGTCACTATGAGTCGGGGCCGACTCGACGGCACATAACAACAACAACAACATATTTTTTTAATCTCTGCACCATAATTTGTGAAAAACCAAAAACCAAACTCACTGCCATTGAGTCAGATCCCACTCATCGTGACCCTTCTTGGATTTCTGGGGCTGTATCACTACAGAAGTAGATTGCCCAACCTTCCTTCTGAGGAGTGGCTGGTGGGTTTGAACCACCAGCCTTCTGGATTGCAGTCAGATGCCTTAGGTACTGCGCCACCAGAGCTCCTTAATTTGGTGAGGAAGGCATATATTTAACTGTTCATAGTTTGTACTTTACATTATACACTCTTGCTAGATCCAGTCCTTTTGTTTCCTCCTGTTCTATTAGTGCAACCCAGAAATTTCTTCTATTTTACATTCCTCCAAAACAATAGTTTTACAGCTTTGATGTGCATTATAAGAAATGCAGAGTCCCAGGCCTCACTTCCAAAACTTCTGCTTCAGTAAGTCGAGAAGAGAGCCAGCCCAGGATTTTGCATTATAAGAAGCAGCCAAAGGCAGTTGTGATACATGTCTTGTGCAGAGGGACATTTTGAAGAAATATTACTGTTACCTTCAGTCTCCATCATTCAACTGGAGATGTCTGTTACCCTGTGGTTATCAGTAAGCAATGATGCCCTTTGTGACTTTGTGATCAGGAGGAGCCCTGAAAAGCCTCCAGGCAGTAAGGAAAGGTATACACAAATCTCAGGCACCAGTAGGTACCTATGTCCTTACATGGGTAAGAGTAGCCAGCTTTCCTTAAATTCCATAATCATCCAGTAGTCCTCCCTCCCAACTGACCAGAAATTGTATTGCTCTCCAAGCTGAAATGTTTCTATTAGAGCACAATTTTACATGCAGGTGCAAACCAGTAGGAAAGGGTACCAACGGAATTTCATTTTGCATAAAAAGCTCTGTAGGAATTTGCTTACAGAATACCCAGAATCAGGAAATAAATACCTGCCTGGTTCTCCCCAAACAGACTTAGTTTGTTTTTCCTTCTTTCTCAAGACTGCTTTGTTCAGCTATGCAGGTTGTATACTGCACAGAAAGAACAAGTTGGGGCTGAAATGTAGCCCTGACGTTGCTAAATTCTGCATCTCAGTATGGGGCTGTTTCCTCTTTGAGGGACATCCTTTTCCAAATTGTACAAGGTACTATGGGGGCTAAAGGCACATCCAAGTCCCTCTCTCCTTCTCCCCCAGCCCTTTTACTTCCCCACATCTCCTCTTATCCTCCTCTTTTCCCTTCCCACTTTCTCAGATTTACTTTCTCCTTTTCTTTGACTCTATTAAGCTCTGTGCTAACTATTGCTCAAGCGTCTTTCCATGGCATTCCCATGTACTTCCCTTCATACAGGCTTGCTTGCTTTCTTTTTAATTTTTATTGTGCTTTGGGTGAAAGTTTACAGAGCAAATTCATTTTCCATACAGCAGTTCACATACACTTTGTCTCATGATATTGACTGTAATTTCCCACACTGCAATATCTCTCTTCTCACTTCCTCCCCATAGTTACCTCTTTCCTGCATCCTTCCCTCCCATGCATTCCTGTCCCCCAAGCTGTCTCCCTGTGCATACACACCCCTTCTATTCTCCCATGATTGATCTCTCCAAGGAGTGTATCTACCTAATGTAAATGTTCAGCTCATGTGCCTGTCTTTTGTTTCGCTGGAAGCCATAGGAGTTGATTCAATTCCAGACCTGAAGGGCAGCTAGTGGCCATAGTCTCAGGGGTTCCTCCAGGCGCTATCAGACCAGCAAACCTAGTCCCTTTTTTCTTTTTTTAATGATTTTGAGTTTTTTCCACATTGTTCTCCCACTCTATCCAGGGTCTCCTACATAAATCCCTCTCTGAGTGGTTGACAGTGGTAGCTGGGCACCATATAGTTCTTCAGGTGTCATAGTCATATAGGCTGAGGATCGCATGGTGTACCAGTCATAAAGGATTTCTTAAAGCCTTTGCTCTGTTTCTCCTCTTATTAGCCCTCTCCCATTCATACTGTTCTGTCTGCAAGGATTTTTCTCATGGTTCTTTTACATATCTGCAATGTTTTCTCTGTCAAGTTATTAAGAGATTTATATATTTGATATTGTATTATTTTGACCTTATTTTCCAATATCTTCAAATAAAAATATTCTTCTTAACTGAAGGTCTCTAGTGAAATATCAACTGTATCACTTATATACTTATTTCTAAGGTATTAAACTCCTTCCCATTTTCTTGATCTTGACCCAGAAAATTTGACAAGGGTTGAAAAATAATATATTTGTTTTGATTATCTTCTTGAGACTTAAATTTAGAGTTTTCTTTTGCAAAACAGAAGTTATTACTTCCCTAACTTACACAGATACATTAATTAGAGAATGCTACCCATTAATCTCTCCACATTCTTCCAGCTCTAGTTGTAAGTTCTGGCTTGAATGATATGGTATACCGTATTACCATCTATCTGAATATTTTAAAATAAGGTATGTTCTGATTGGAAACTGAGTTTGCTTTAAAAAAAAAAATACACACACATATATGTATGTATATGGAAAATGTACTGGTATCTTTGAAATATGTCCGAGCTATTTATTACTAATATACTTGGCATATTAAAGTAACATGATGTGGTAGTTATGATTATGTGTCACCTTGGCTGGGCCTGGTTTTAAGTGGCTGAGCATCTGGATGTAGTTATTCCCCATGATGAGACTGGTAATCAGCTCCTTGGTGGAATCTGCTGGAACAGCTGACTAGCTGCCTTAGGGATGTAGTCTGTTTCCAGGGTATAAGGAGAAGCTTTGGGAATGGTCTTGAGCTTTTTGGTATGCTTGGACCCCACATGTAGCCAAGTCTTCATTGGGCAGCCTGCCATGTTTCCTGCCGATCTTGGGACTGTCTGCACTTGCCTGCCGTGGTGTTGTTTGGTACTTGGGACTGTGCCATTTTATTTGTCAGCCTTGGGTTTGTCAGCCTTAGCAGCTAGCAGCTGCATAAGGGAAGTTTCTACCTTCAGTGGGCAAGAGGCAGAGCTAAAGCCCAAGGTCAGGAGGTTTCCACCCAGCCCTTGGAGCTGGCACTTGGAACATACACTTCTAGCCTCCTAAACTGTAAGAGAATCTTTGTTTGTTCAAGCCACCCATTTGCAGCATCTGTTAGAGCAGAACTAGAGGTAACCAAAACACATGAAATCTTCAAGTATTCTTCTAAATCTTTAGTTCTCTTCATTTCTTTTCTTTCTTTTTTTTTTTTTTTAAATTGTGATTTAGGTAAAAGTTTATAGAGCAAATTCACTTTCCATACAGAAACTCACACACACTTTTTCTCATGACATTGACCACAATTTACCACAATGCAATAGCTCCCCTCCCACTTCCTCCCCATGGTTACCTTCTCCCTGTGTCCTTCCCCCCATGCACTCCTCCCCCCCAAGCTGTGTCCTTGTGCATACACAGCCTTTCTATTCTCCCATGATTGATCTCTCCAAGGAGTGTACCTACCTGATATAAATGTTAGTTCACATGCCTTTTGTTTAGCTGGAAGCCACAGGAGTGGGTTCAATTCCAGCCCTGAAGGGCAGCTAGGGGCCATAGTATCA